TCAAACTTCAACAGGGGAAGTTTAGGTTAGATATAAGGAAGAAGTTCTTCACAGTGAGGGTGGTGAGGCACTGGAATAGGTTGCCCAAGGAAGTTGTGAATGCTCCAACCCTGGTGGTGTTCAAGGCCAGGTTGGACAGAGCCTTGGGCGACATGGTTTAGTGTGTGTGTACCTGCTCATGGCAGGGGGGTTGGAACTAGATGATCTTAAGGTCTTTTCCAACCCTAACTATTCTTTGATTCTATGATTCCAATCACAGAAATGGTCATGATTTCACTGTAAATCAAGCTGAAACCACTCATTCCTTGGTAGATGAAAATGTTGCAGGCTGTTTAATGTCCTTAAGTATGGACAATTGTGCTTGAAGCTTTGCTATTTAATCCTAATCTAGATTCCTTTGCATGAAATGCTTCACTATTCTGAGTATGAGCAATGCAAACAATTAATGCAATATAGTAATTGAATTTGTCAAGTTAATCAGCTAAAGAATCACCCCCAAATAAATAATCAAAATCTAGTTGTACTATGTGGTGTGTCATGAGTAAGTATTTTAGGTTTACTCACCAAAATTCTGTCAAAAGCTGAAGGGGTTCCACCTCTTTGCACATGACCCAAGATAGTTACTCGTGTATCAAAACCAAGCCGCTGAACTACAAGCTGCAAAGAATTCCAAAATACAGTGGGTTTATCATCATTATTTCATATATGTGTTAGGTTTACTCTGCTTTACGTGACACTGGAATAATAAAATTCTACATATACTATACATTAGTATGTCAACAGTAAATGAAAATACTATAGAAGTTAAGCTTCTCAGTTCTAAGCTTCTAAGTTAAGCTTCTTAAAGTTAACTTAAAAGTTAACTTTAAGAAGTTAAAAGTTTTAGTTTATTCCTAACCTAGAACTAAACTTCAGGTTTAGTTTCCAAGGAACATTTTATTTAATAATGGCAGAACAGTGGCTTAGATTACCATGCTTTAACTACAGTTACAATGGCTCCATTATGCAGTCCTCAGCCTTATAAAAACAGTCTAAATATTATAATTAGAATACTTGAAAGAAGTGCAATTACAGTGCGTGATTAACTCCATGTTTCATCTATGTGTAAGATTACACATCCCAAAAGGTTGAGTAAAACTTCAGTGGATGATTTATCCTTAATTGACAAGACTTTTAAAAGTTGCAGTAAAAATTACAATAATAAAACTGAAACTGACAGCTATGGAAAACAAAACTTCACAGTCACAGGACAGAAAAAACCCAGATGAAATCAAAATGGCATAAGTCCTTCTTGCCAATGACTGGTTTGCAACATCTTTTCTTAAAGGACCCTTTTTAAGAAAAGGAGAATAGTTTCAGCTTGAAAGTTTTTCTTAAGTACCATTGAAATTTCTGGCAAAGAAACCATTTAGAAAAAAGTGACAAGACTTTGCCCAAAGTAGACAGTATTATTTCTCTGTGAAACAGACCATAACACTATATTACAAGAAATATAAAGTAAAATAGGATTATAATTACTGATTTGAGATGATTTCAGACTATCAATTAAGGCACCCATGAGGTAGGTGTTTCGAACTGTTGTCTTACATTATAAGGAGAAAAGGTTCTAATTAACAGCCACTGAAATAATTCCCTCTTAAGTAGGATATGGATTCAGATAATAAAGCACAAATATAAAATACGACCAGCAAACTGTGTGATAAGCTACTTTACAGGAATAGACTTACTTTAGAGAAATGTTATTACTAGTAACAAGCTCCATCACAAGAACAAGACAGAAAGTGTATCACAGGGTTGTTGACACTTACATCCTTAACCTTCTCTGACGTTATAGGCTTGTTATGGCAATCAATAGCTCCTTCAGCTACAATAATAATATTCAATCTTTTCTTTCGTGCACGATTCTGTAATAAAACCAGAATTTTTTATATTTAAATTGATATTTATTTAAATCCTCTATATAATAAAAACACTGAAATTTACATCATAATTTTATAAGCAATTGCTATACACTAAGCCGCTAGGATGCTGGGGAGGGACTCTTTGTTAGGGACTCTAGTGGTAGGACAAGGGGTAATGGGTTTAAACTTAAACAGGGGAAGTTTAGGTTAGATATAAGGAAGAAGTTCTTCACAGTGAGGGTGGTGAGGCACTGGAATAGGTTGCCCAAGGAAGTTGTGAATGCTCCAACCCTGGAGGTGTTCAAGGCCAGTCTGGACAGAGCCTTGGGTGACATAGTTTAGCGTGTGGTGTCCCTGCTCATGGCAGGGGGGGTGGAACTAGATCATCTTAAGGTCCTTTCCAACCCTAACTACTCTATGATTCTATGATTTGAGGAAATATTTCTTCTATTTAGTCACTTCAGAGTTTTCACATATTGTATCTTCATATAGGTCTTTTCATTGATGAAGCAAAATGTCTTATATCAAACTAATGAGCAAAGGTACACATGCTGTTTTATAGGAATAGTTTTATGTAATCCCTGGAGTAGGTCAAATAATTCTTCAAAACAATCATAAAAATGCAGGAAAAGAACTGTTAAAGATCAAATAGCACTGTCTGTGACACCAGAAGCAAAGGTTTGCTGAAAGTCCTGATCACATTTTTAAATCACCATTTTCAAACAAACATCTGCAAAACATCAGGAAATCCCAAATAGATTACCTCTGACAGCTTAACACACATTGTATCTTCCCATCCTTCTTCTGGTGGGTATTCAGGAATAAATACCCAATCTGCACCACAGGCTAAGGCACTAACAAGAGCTAGATACCTAATAAAACATAACAAATGATTAGACATCTATTGTTCAGATTTCATATCTTTCATAATTTTATCTGTACAAGACACAAACTGCTGAAGATAATACATACCCACAGTGTCTCCCCATAACCTCCAGAACAAATGTCCTCTGATGGCTGTAAAATTAAGAAAACAAATGAAATGTAATACTGCAACTCAAAAATTCAGTCCAAAATCTTGAAATCAGAACCTCTTATCAGGAAACAGCCTGTATCACGCTCACCAAACACAGAGCAGACCCATAGTTAAAAACTGTAATGATTATAGCTGTATTAACCACACCCACCAAACAAAAAAAAAACAAAAAAAAAAAAAAAAGTATGTATATATATAAATCATGGAATTGGTTAAATTTTACCTAGGGAAAGCTTACATACAAACAGATGCTACTTTGTACTATTCAAGGTGTGTCTTTATTTTCTCTAGAAACATCTTAAAAAAAAACTGACCCTAAAGCTGATGAAACCTCTACAACCACATGCTTGAAGTGCTGCCATAACAGGAATGATGGAAAAGCAGTTACTAAGAAAAAAAGAACCCAAGACACTTCAAAGATACAGTCAAAAAAGCTTTTATTTCTATTCTAGAAATATTACAAATACTAGTTACCTAACTTCTATTTAAGATTAACTTTTATTCTCCACTATTGTAGGGCAATAAGATACTTAAGATTTGAAGCATAAATAACTGTATATTTGTTACAGTTTTCTACAATACGAACAATTTACCTTTGAGCAGTGGTCATGATGGCATCCACAACTTCAATGATTCTGTGCAAGGCTGAGTCAGTACCTATGGTCATATCAGTACCACAGAAGTCATTATCTATGGATCCAACCATTCCCACGATGTTAAGGTAAGCATACTTCTTAACAGCCTCTTCATCGATCTTTCCTGTAAGTATCCAGAGAAAGAGCTGTAAGATTTAAAAAAAAAAAAAAACCCAAACAAAAAAAACCAAACAAAAAACCCCAAAACAAGCCCAAGAATAACAACAATAACCAAAAAAAACCACAAACAGCTTTTAGACATATTGCATATTTTTGTAAATTAAACATATCCAAACATAAAATTATGTTTAGATATTTTAGGTAAAAAGGTTAGTAAAAACTACAAACAAAAGCCAATCAAACAACCAAACAAAAGAATCCCTCATAGAACTCCTTACAGTAAGGAAGGAAACAAGAGCTTTTCAGTCCATTTCAAAACGACAGCAGATTATCAAGTTTTGCAACCAACCTTAAAATTGACGGTTTGGACTTAAACAATAGCATTCAAATTGTAGTCTCAGTGTATGACATGCAATGAAGAAGTAAAAGGATGCAAACTGGATGTGATTATGGGCATCGGTAAACAATCAAAACCCAGCATTAAACTTTTGAAGACATCTTTTCTGCAACACTGAAAGGCTCTGATTTCATGATTAATAAGCAAATACAATAGAAAAGCTCCTATTCTAAGTCTTAGTCACTCAATACATCAATGAAAATGCTGAATCATCCAAGAGTGTCAAAGGATCTCAAGGATGAAATACATCAGCTTCTTAAGTGCTTAAAACTACCTTAGTATCTGTGGATGGGATGGTAGTAAATATAATGGCAATACTTTAATATGAGATTCAAAAACTATATATCAGTGTGTTTAATGTCTATACTACAGAAAATAACAGAAAACACAATGAAAAAATAACTTATGTCCATAAAGATAAATGCAGCATTCTGAAGGAGAATCAAAATGTTTTCTATGAATGTATACCATGCATTACAAACCTTTTCTAGAGTTCCAAACGTGACTTAATAATCACATAAATAAGGGATATCTGGCTGACATACTCTACTTAGGTTTCCAAAAAACCATTGACAACATCTGTCACCAAAGGATTTTGAGGAAACTAAGTAGCTACAGCATAAGAGAGAAGGCTTTTTATAGAATAAATAATGTGAAACAGAGGGTAAAAATAAGAAACAGAGAGCAGCAGCAAATGCAAGTTCTTATATCTGAGAAAGGCAACCAATGGAGTTCTACAGGGATCTGCACTGTTCAATGTACTCAGCAATAACCTAGAAAAGGGAATGAGCAGTAACGTGCCAAAGTTTACTGATCAATCTGAATTATTTGCATTCTAAAGGTATGGTGTGCCTGAGAAGAAATGAAGAAGACTAGCAAGACACAGTGAGCACTAAATATCAGATGGAGTTTACTGCAGACAAATGTAAACTAATGCACATGAAAAATGTACCCTAACAGCACAAACAAAATAATGCTATTTTCAGCATAAGAATAATGCTGTTTTCATTAATAAATCAGCTTCAATGCCCAACAGCAGTCAAAAAAAAAAATATTAGAAAATATTAGGAAAAGAACAGAGAACAAAACAAAGATCATTATACTACTGTGTAGATCCATGGTTTGCCCTCATCTTGAATACTGGGTGCAGTTGTGGTCCTCCCCACCTCAAAAAGGACATGGTAGAACTGGAAAAGGTTCAGAGAAGGGCAACAAAGGTGATCAAAGGTATAGAACTTACATATAAGGAACAGCTAAGCAAACTAGGACTCTTCCATCTAGGAAAAGAGATGCTGAAGGGAAAATAAGACAGCTGTAAAGTCTCAAGTGGCATGCAGAAAGGAATCAGGATTGATTCCTGACTCCTGAAAGGAATCAGGATTGATTAACTTTTGCTCTAGCATAAAAATTATGGGACACCAAATGATACTAGAAGCCAGAAGGATCAAAATAAACAGGAGAAGATTCTTCAAAATCTTCATCATTCAATGAAGTTGAACTCCTTGCTACACAATGTTTTCAGCAACAATCTGTACGCTTTCAGGGAGACTGTATACATTCATGGAAGAGAAATTCATTAAGGACTGCTAACAGCATCTGGTTCAGGAAGTCCCGAAGACAGAAATGGATGGAACCTATCAAGAGTATTTATAAATTATGAATAACATAGCATCAACACAGCATTATTTATGCTTGTCCTGTTCTTTTACTCTTCCCTATACATGCTCTTGGATGTTATCAAAGACAACTACTGGGTGGGATGCACTTTTACCAACAGCCGTTTATATTCTGATCTTAAACAGTGTCATATAGTCAGGAATCATAATTTAGTAACAACCACGCGTGTGGCTATTGGAGGAAAAGGAATTACCATCTCAGTTTGGATATGAGGGCAAAAGGCTTTTCGAGCAGAACGTTCAAAGTTTAGACCCTGAAAATGATTCATAATGAAGGGAAAAAAAGCCATACAGACTGTTGCCCAGTAACTTATTTGGCCTTTTTGAACCTTTATGGTATGTAAGAGAGGATGTGCAGAAATAAAATCTATTACTTTATGAGGAACCATGTAATTCCCTAGAATGTATGCATCTGATTTTGAGTTTAAGCTCTGGATATAGTTTGCATATGTATAGTTAAGGTACATAACTTCCCTGGAGATTGGACTAGAAGTCTAGAGCGTCTAAATGCGAACTTACCTTTCTGTGCCAGTTCTTCTAGAAGCCCGCTCCATTCTTCACGGAACAGATTGGCACCAGTTAAGCTACCGTCTCCACCAATCACACAAAGATTAGTGATTCCTCTCTGAACCAAGTTGTAGGCTGCCTGCAGGCGGCCCTCCCGGGTACGAAAGGATTTGCAGCGTGCACTACCAATAACTGTACCTCCCTAGAAAGAGAGAGTATAATAGTTTTAATTTATAATCCAGTATTTTACTGTATTCAAGATGGATTACTGATGCATGGGTTATTTTGTAGCATAACCTCAACCTTCAAGGTGAGTAACAAGTAATGAAAATCAAACCTGTGGGAAATTATGTTCTCAGGAGCAGATATACACATAAAGGAAAAGGGAGAAAACACTCAAAACTGACTGATAAAGAGCTACTCTTGAAGGAAAATGTTAAAATACTTGGGATTAATTTCAGTAGCATGCCAATAAATGATCTAATTGTTACTTACATGCAATGCTAATAGTAAAAGTGATATGATACTAGGTAGTTACGTATTTGGGTGAATTTGCATCAAAGTGTGACATTTTTCCCAAAACATGAACAACAACGGAAAATGCGTATCCTTATCAAAATAAGCATCCCACAGAATTATGGGAAGAACTGCATCCATATTTAGTACCTCATAGGTCAGAGTAATGCTAAATTTCCTGTTCTATTAATTATCTGCTGTAGTTATTAACATGATTTAAGAACTTCTCCCAGAAATGAAGCTTTATTTTCAAAAAAGACTGAATCACTCTATCACTGAAAATTGCTGAGCATCTTGTTGAAAACAAGTTATTTACACATCTTCTACATTTATGTTGTTCAGTCACTCAAGAAAAGTCTATTTTTGCCTATTTATTGTCTCAGTAAAAAATTAAGACTGCAAAAACTTTTTTTCTGCAAACAATTTCAGAGATAATTACCTCACTTTTTTGCACAAACATTTCCTTCACTTTATAATAAATCAGCCATGTCAATCTAAATTTGAGCTTCAAATCTGTAGAGGCTGTACTGGTATGATTTGCCCTACCAATGGCCAAAAAAAAAAAAAAAAAAAAAAAAAAGTTTTTTTCGGTTTAAAAGCCAGTCCTAGGCACTATTTTACCACCTACGTTGCAACCACAACAGCTAGTTGGAGAAAAAAAACAGGTGGAATAGAAGCCTTCTACACAGTCAAAAAAGGAAAAGTGTACAGATGGAGATGTTCTAAAAATAACAATCAGGACTAAAAAATCATATCTAAACTAGGTATTTTCATACTTAAAACACCAGTTGTAAGTGGAAAAGAGACTGTATTTGAAACAATGTATTACAACGTGTTCTGATTAAACAGAAATACACGCCGATGAAAAACCTTTTCTCAAAATAAGTAAATACACTCTTTAAGATGGATCCTCAGCTGGTTTGTTAAATTCCTACCTATCAAGCTTAGAAAGATGTTATTATTACAGTATGTATGCCATCTACATGTATGTATAGGATGCCTACATCCTGCTCCTGTCTATGCTTCTGCATGGCTTGGTCACAATATCTTATCTTTCTCTTAACCATAAGATGTGTCTGGATGATGCTCCTAGTCATCTAGAAGCGTCATCTTTAGCCATCCCTGCAAGAAGCAGTGAGTTGGACTCAATGATCCTTATGGGTCCCTTCCAACCAAAATATTCTATGATCATAGATTCTACAAGATAGACAGAAGATTAAAAAAACCAAACAAACAAACAAACAAAAAAACAACAGCCAAAAAGCCCAAACATATGTGGACAAAGAATCTCACAGTATTACAGGATATTTGTTTAAAAAAAAATTGTCTATTTTATTCTCTACTAACTGCTTTACGTTTATTATACTGGATTCACAGGAAGTGCAAAAGAAACCCACACTTCACCTAGAGGTAGTTTTCAGAAAGCTTGGCAAGCAGTAAGGCCTCTTTGACAAACATAGCATTTGCTCTGGAAAAGGTAACAGCACTACCATGCTGAAGCAAAACGTAAGGAAAGACAAATGGCCACCTTGCAGAACACTGTAATATAAATGTAATGAGTCACTGGTATTATCTGAGCTCCGGAAAACTGTACTGTAACTACATGCACTACAATAAGTTTAAATCGACTTAATACAGAAAGCCAACAGGGTTTCGTAATAAACCACTTGCCTTACAAAACAGCTGTTTCATATTCTGGCCCTATAATAACTTTATATTATTTACAGGCTTGTCAATATGGCTTCAGGAGGCTAATGAGATGTAATGTTGAAAATCTAGCACAAAGGTTTTTAAGATTATTTCTGTGCACCAAATAAAAGACCACATAAAGCTCTTTAGAAAGTGTCAAACATCCACACTGTAGAATTCAGGCTCTGCCTAAAAGTGGCATATGCTGGTGGCACAGTCATCACAGAATTCAAATCTGTAATTACACTGGTTGCCTGGATCTAGAATTTTGGTTCCCTGTTGTAAGAGTGAGGGTTTGGGCCCTAACCCCCTAACACTTACCACTTGCAGGATACTTGAAACACTTTCCCATGAAACTTCTACAATATTATCGCCTCCATCAACCATACCCTGGTAACCCTGAAAGAGAAGAAGTATTTCAGAAGTCTGATTTGAAAAATTGTGTAACATTTCCACTGCAGTAATACTCACCTTGTATATTTTAATACAATTTTAAGTAATTAAAACCACTGAATAAAAAATAATTTAAATGAAACAACATTCAAGCAGATATCACATTGGGGGGGGGGGGGAAAGCCAAACCCTCTTCCTAAAAGATTGTTTCCGAAGAAAATGTCAAGATAAAGTTAATATTTTAGACAGATAACACAGCTTATAGACGAGAATGACACTGTATTTCTCCCTTCTTAGGAATAAATATTGAGTCATTTCTAAAAAACTACAAAGATGGAAGAACTTCAAAAAACACTACAAAATGTGCTTCCTAAAAACGTAACTTCAGCCTGAGGTCACAATCTTAGGAAAAATTTACCTACGCAAAACTTTGTACACTTTTTTCCCCGAGGTAGGTATAAGCAAAACAAAAAAGAGCAATAACTAAATATTTTTCATAAATGAAGAAGAAAACAGGCCACGTATGAGGCAGTTACACAATAGATCAACTAAAGAAATTTGGTGAAAAAATACAATTTTAGTGATGCATTTAAGAACTCCTTAATACCTTATTTCAAATAGTCTTCAGAAAACAATGCATGCTGTAATATGGAAAGAACTACACTTAGTTGAAAGAAGGAAAACTATCCAGTCAGCAGCTGAAGGGTTTTGTTATGTCTGGCTTTATTAACCCTCTGAATAAATACCAGCAAGAAAGATATTGACAATTAGAGTCTTTTCCATTAGGTGGTATTATAAACACTAATTGAAAAAAAGAAAATATGGCAAAGTTCCAACCTGGAAAAACCTAACTAATACAGACACCAGAATAAAATTGGAGTTTCCATTCAACTGTTTGATATTTATTTAAATCCAAAAAGAAAAAAAAAAAACCCAAAACATGTGAGGTTAAAGAAGACAAACAAGAAACCACTCAAGAAAAATAAACATGACAAAGTTTATGTCTCCATTTTTAGATTATGTGTACACACAGGTAATAATGCTGAGGAACAGTTAGTTAACCTTTCTTCAGTTCTTGCAAGACTGTACATATTTAGTTTTAGGGTTCTCAAGAATACATTAGGTGGAACCAGAAACAGAAGGGAGTTTAGAAGACAGAAAAACTGACGTTATAAACTGGAGACCCTTACTTTGGCACAATCCAGAGTATATGTAGATTTTATTCACTAAGCAGTCAGTAACTTGGGAATGTACTAAGCCTACACTGGCTTAAAAAGCCATATATATTAAATGAATACTGTATCATACTTGGGAGTCCCTCACTAGGGGATAGGATAATATAATGTGTACTCAAGGAAAGTACAAGTTATTCAAATTAAGCTTTCTAGGATTCTAGTACAGATTTCAAGTGGCAAGCATTAAAGTTTTTCTTTCATTAGTCAAGTGAGACTTGACTAATGAAATTACATACAAGATGATCAAGCAATAGTAAAAACACAGCTAACTGGAAAATGACCCGTGACTCTTAATTTGTCATTCAACAAATCTTTTCAGTATTTCGTACACTCTTGAGATAACTTTGATATGTATCTAATGTACATAAATACATACTGTCTTGATTACTAATGTATACACATAACAACTTGAAGCCAAGAAACTTGCACAATTCCTTCAAAATTTGAGTAAGTTAGAGAAAAGATAATGCTTGATATATGTATCAACTCAACAAAATAAAATTATTTTCTCAGATAATGTGCAAAGATCTTCAGACAGAAACACTCCAATGGATCCAACTGTGCTAGATGAAGGCTAATAAATTACCAAGTTCATTTATCACAGCTCTGCTGTTCTGCTGGAGTTTTTCTAAAGCTAAGAATCCAGCATTCCTTATTTCATTCAGTAATAAATTGAAAGCTTTTCCTATCGGTGTTCCTATTGGCAACTACAATAACAAAGATTCATAGGCAACAAATCCTGAAAGAATAGCGTGATGCTGTATCCTAACTCAGTTTGTAACACTAACCGTAGTAAGCTGTAATACAAGCTGACAAAAACTTACATAGCTCACATATTTGCTCCAGTCATTCACCTTCCACTTTTACATAAAAGGAAAACAAAGAAAATGTGTCCAAGAAAGTATTATATACAGGAAATATACAAATAATTATCTACATAGCATGAGACTCATAGATGAAAATTTCTAATTCATATTTTATTAACAAGCCTAAAACAGAGTGAAAAGCAAATGGATAAACTACTATTTGAAACTGTCCATAAGATCATCTGAAATACTTTATAGCTAGGCTAAGGACGAGCTATGACCAATTCCCGCACCATATATTTTTAAAGATATATGCATTCTGGTCAGGAGTCCTCATCAGTTCTACTTTCTCTGTGAAGAGACGTGAGAACAGGGGTGTATTAACAATTCCTTCCACAACTAGGCAAGGACAGGGAGCCTCTCGAACAGGCCTGATCCATTTTAACTGTTTCATTACGTTTTCCAAACAGTTCTTTTTTCAAAGTAGTGTTTCCAAGAACCTGTACAATGTAGCTAGAATGTACACACTATTCTTTTATACTGTTAAAGAGATATGAAAGCCATAGGATTAGAACAGCTCTGCAGAAAAGCTACAGGGTGTGTGTGGGGGTGTGCGTGTTGGGGAAAGATGACTAATTATAATGGAACTATTAACAACGATCACAATTTCCATTTATCATTTTAGTTATTTGAACACTGATGCTGACTTGGGGACTGGGCAATCCATTTTAAAGGTGGCATTTAACTTGAAGTATTTTATCAAATAGTTCAACACTGAGTTGTCTGGCTACTGAAAATTACTGGCAGATATAAGCACACAACTTAATAAAAAGAAGGTGTGAACCTGTCAATTTACATTCTAAAAATAGCAGCCGGGGTACTAAGATACTAAAATCATGGGGCCAGAATTGAAGAAAGTAAACTGTCCAAACCACAGCAAGCACTGTATGTGAGGATCAACCCCATTTAATGCTTATTCCTTCCTCTACTCAAAATCTGAATATTCAAAAACTGAACAAGAGGAAATCTCTGCAGGTGAAACGTTCACATGGTACATACACATACATAACTCCGGGAGAGAGCAGCAAAGACAGCAAACCTTGATTCCAGGTTGAATGCTAAAGCTTTCCAAGAAGAACATGCCATCTTCTGCTACATGTGGGACATTTAAGGCTTTAACAGTTAAGTTTACTTACTGAGCTTTTTTAGCTATTGCTTGACAACGTAAAATTCTAGCATCACTGAGTGCACAAACCACCGCATAAAAGATGAAGTTTTCCTCACAGACATTCATGACTGCCATACCATTGCATTTCCAGTGCTGGCCTCTTGAGAAAAAGACTCTTAATCAAGATGAAGAATCTAAAAGTTCCATAGCTTAGTGGTAAGAGCACGCATCCACTGGGAATTATGTGCCTCAATCCTGGAAAAAGCGCAGGTTATTTGTATAAATACTTAAGACCTCAGTTTCTAAAGTGAATTGCCATAAATGAGAGGTATCACTACTTCTTTTCATTCTCAACTAAAAAGAAAAAATACAAAAACCAAGTCACTTCCAGTGAAAAAAATTAAACTAACCTCCTAGAGCAGCCTGGTATTTTTACATGTATTTCCATCTCTTAGATATTCACAGCAGGAGTGAAATAAGCCCATGGATATTCAGATTTTAATTCAGATTGAGACAGATTTGAGGAATACTGTACTGCGATGCTAGTCAGTCAGGGTGACTACAGACTGTTTATATAGCAAAATTAAATACTGAATGATATTAGCATGATTAAAATATGAAACAAGGGCAAGAGTAAGCACTGTTACCACAAATAAACAGCAATATTTTCAAATGTGCTAATTTCAATGAATTAAGATACACGGGTTGTTTTAAATTTT